GGGCGTGAAATGAGGATGGGGGTGCTCCCCATCCTTGGGTCGTCTCGTCGTAGAAGAGGAAGGGCTCCCCATTGTAGAGGAGCCGCCTGAAGGCCCTCTGGCGGTGGTGTCTTCCTGGGTCTCGCAGCCCCGAATCTCCTGGAGGGAATGTGAGCCTACCCCAACACACCAGCGGTGACTCCCCAGTCCCGTCCCTCTGTCCCCAAGTGAGAAACCCCCACAACACCCCGCTCCCCTCCACGCCTCCCTGTGCTGGATGAACAGTGTCACCTCTGTCTGTGCTGGGGCCCACAGACTCCCTTTCTCACACCCCCCAGCATCTGGTGAAGACACAGCCCCCAGCTGCCCTACGGTTCCTGGGGAAGACCCAGCTCGCCCTCTCACCTCCTTCCTGGCTCTGCTTTCCCCTGATGAACGCTTCATGTGGACCTTCCCCGCCCCCCCGCCACTGGTCCCTGTGGGCCCCCAGCTCAGCTCCCACAGAGCAGCAGACCTCGGGTCTTACCTGACCATTGTCACCATCATAGTGCAGGATGAGCTGATTGTCGAGGGCAGAGCGGCATCCCGGGTCATGGTGAGTTCAGTCTGAAGCCTGCGGGGTCCTAGGGGAGAAATTCTCAGTGAAGGGGGTGGAGCTGCCTGAGCATCAGAGTCACTGAGGCTGCGGCCCGAGCTCCTGCAGGTTAGAGGCCACAGATAGGGCCACACAGGCGGACGGGAGTGAGGATGGGCAGTGCAGGGGGCAGGAAAGGCAGGAGGAGAGGGCTGGGGAGACCGGGGAGGGGTCAGAACTGGCCTAGGGACTGGGCAGTGGGTCCGGTGCTGTGGTGGCAGGACAACTCTGGGACCACCCCTGAGAGGAGAAATCAAATACGGTACAAAAATTAACCACCATGTAAGAAAATCAACATAAAAATAGGGATATGACGTCATCAACATGGCTGCAAGGTGACCCTGTGATTAATTTCCCTCATGAACACAAATGAGGAAAAGAAATAAACCTTGGCTCCCATCCGGTGTGGTGGGGTGGACAGGCAGGGGCTCCTGACGCAAATCACAGCTGGCAGCAGCATCTGCCACAGTGGAAATCTGTACAGTGGGAGCTATGGAAGCCCACACTCCTAACTCCCACACACCCCGGTATTCCCTGACATCCAGTAGAAGAACCTGGAGAAGACACCGCTGACATTAGCCCCCTGGCAGAGGAGCGCCCAGGTGGAGACTGCAGGAATAGGCCCCCAAGTCCTACACCTGGTAGCCACCTTCACCTCTACCACCATCCGGAGTTGCCTGGACACTGGGAGACACTCCAGCTGGAGAAAGCAGAGGACAGGCCAGCAGCACAGTGTACCAGGCATTAGGACAGAGAGGAGCTAAAGGCAAACAGCAGGAGGAAAAGAAACAGGGATGCAGCTGCCCCTCCTGGGCAGCACAGCACGGAACACGTCACCTCCAGACATCTCTGCTGACACATAAGGCATGCAGAGTTGCCATACTGAAAACACTATGAGTTAAGATATAACGCTGAAAAGAAGATGAATATAATCAACCCACAGAGGAATGAGAATGAATCCCTAAATAAGGAATTACAGGGTGCTCAAAGCTTGGTGGAGGAGCTAACGGGTGAATCCTCTTCCCCTAACACTCTGGGCTACGCCCCAGTTCTTGTATGCATAAATGAGCAAACATAACTGTTAGGGTCTCCCCAGGTGGCACAAGGGATCAAGTGTGGACACTTTGAAGCAATCTGAAGCCACTGCAACTGAGGTCCATCCCCGGCCAGGGAGCTGACCCACTTGGCCCAGCAGACCTCTCAGTCTCCCCACTGCTCCCCTCAGCAGTGTACTTCAGTCCATCTGCCTGATCTGCTCCCCACTCTGTCTCTGGTGAATCCTCTCACCCACCAGAACTCCATCTTTGTTCTATACAGCAGCTCTTGTATGCAAAAACAAATACATCTTTAAAAATAATAATAAATCAATTCTTAAAAATAAACAACCCCCAAAGGCCACACCCCTCCTGGCAGTGTCCTCCCAGACCCCTGGTAGGCCCCAGCTCCTGCCCACCAGGACCAATGAGGCCCCTCTCCTGCCTCCAAGGCTCCGTGGGGACAAGGACCGAAGCAAAACAGTTGTAGACCTGACACTGTCCTGGGAGGAGTGAGCAGCCAGCCTGGTCTGCAGGGGACTCTAAGCCGGCAGGGGGCGCCTAGAGCCTGGCCAGACAGGGCCAGTGCACCCAAGAGGACTACACAGCTCAGAGGCAGTCCCCAGTCAGCCCACTGGAGGCGGGAGGGGCCCCCTTCCTTATGCTCAAGTATTTTACCTCCTCTCACCTCCTACTCAGCTGACTTCCTTAAAAGGAGAACAAAAAAAGTGGGTGGGAATACATTGGATCCAGGTATGTCTGTGAGGAGAGGGTCAAACCTACAAAAACCTAAGATTTAGGGGCCAGAAGTCCCAGGAACAGGTTCTGAGCAGCTGAGAGGGGGTCCCAACCACTGCAGCCCCCAGGTCACTGCACTGTTGGCTCCACAGAGAAAGGACCTGCCCCTGCCTCCCCCTCCCCCTCCCAGCTCACAGCTAAGGAGGCCTCTCCTGCTTCCTCCTCCTCCCCTTTCCTCCCTGGACACTCCCTCAACTGCACCTGGTCAGGGCAAAGTCTCCAGAGACCACAGGTGTAGGGCTGTTTCAGGCCTCTGCCCCCTGGGCTCTGGGAGGCCACTTCAAGCCCAAATTTTCTGGGCTGCCAGAGCCCAGGCCATGAGGGTCTCCTTCTCCTCCTCCCCCCTTCTGGCTCCCTGGTCAAGGCCCAGGTGCAGGTGAGGATGAGAAGCCCTGGCCTGTCTGGATTTGACCCTCCCGCTCTTTTCCTTACTCACCTGTCTAGTTACAGTGGTCTAGGCTAAGGGCAGGAAGGTGGAGGGAAATGTTTTCTCCCCTAACCCCAAGGAGAGCAAAGGGGTTAAGGGGAGACCTGAAAGGGGGCTTCATTGGTCCTCGTGGCCAGGAGCCTGGGGCCTTTCCAGCGCTGGGAGGGGACCCCTGTGTGCCCCAGGGACCCTCTCAGGAGATGTAGGGCCTTTGGATGGGGGTTCCTGAACCCATCTTACCATCCCACAACCCCACTAAGTAGACATGAGCCCCTCAGGACAGGAACTCTGGCAGGTCACCTTAGTCTCCCTGCCTCGCTTTTTATTTTCAGCTGTGAACTCCACCTGTCTCTACTGGCCTGTAACAGGCAGTGTGTGAAGAGTCACTATCACAGTTTATGATAGCTTAGCTATCATATTCACATCAGCATTAACTACTTTCACACCATCATTTCTTTAGCTATCAGGGATGGGGCCTCAGGGATTCTTTTCTGAGCCAAAGTGACCATGAAGTCAAAAATGGCCAGGCCTTGAGGGCCGGGCTCCTTACACAGTAACCACAGCTCCCTACACCCCACTCCATGCCTGTCAGTGGAACTCAGCAAGTAAACGCTTACCTGGGGTATCAGACCTGCACATTTCCAGGTGACTTTCTGCCCAAGCTTGATAACGGCCACAGATGTATTACCTGGGTCAGTCCTTCCAGAAACAGTAAGCTGACCTGCAGTGTGAGGAATAACTCTCCCCTCCTCTGGGTGCAGTCCGCTCTCTCTGGGAAGCCACCAGAACAAGGGAGGTGGCAGTGGGCAGGGAGGGGGAGCCCAGCTCTGGGAACCCCAAAGGTGACCCAGGTCCCCCTCCTCAGGACTCCTAGGCATGGCAGCCGCAGGACACTCATTCAGCTCACACACAGACCCAAAAAGACTTTGAATAACTTAAAAATGGGGCTTCCCTGGTGGCCTAGGGGTGAAGTCTGAGCCCTATCAATGCCTGAGTTGGATCCCCTCCGCCATCCCCAGCTGACCACATGGCCCAGCAGACCTCTCCCATCCCACCCCTCAGCAGTGTCTTTCAGTCCATCTCCCACTCTGTCTCTGGTGAATACTCACACCCCACCTCTCCCCCAACCTTTCACCTATACCCCAGTTTTTGGATGTATAAATAATCTTTTTTTCTAAAATAATCATTTTAAATGTTAATATCAATAGCACTGTCAGTTTTGTGGAAGATGAGAGGTCACTGTTCTATGGGGGGGCAGCAAATCTTACTCAGAGAGTGTAGGAGGGGGGGGGTCTGGGGCTCTGGACCTGGGGTGCTCTGGGATCTGGTCTGTCTCCCCTCCCCACCAGGCCTCCGAGGTTTTCTGTTGTTCAAAATGTTCCCCTCACCCCACCCAGCTTCCAGCCCCCTCTGGCCTGCACTCCGACTATTTTTTTTCTCCTCCACTCACCTGTGGGGTGTCCTGGAAGCGAAGCAAACGCACTGTAGCAGCAGGCACGGAGCCGGGATCTCAGAGTTCTGAGGTCGCCCCAACCAAGCGGAAGGAAACAAATTATTTTCTGATAGACAAGCAGAAGGAGACGGTTGGAGCCCGGGGAAGAATGCGCGGGCTGAGGCTTCCGACTCGTACAGCTGAGCTGAGCCTCTGCGGTCAGGAATCCGAACAGCCGGGACCCTACTCTGCGGGGATAGGGGCCGGGGACCTCGGAGCCGCTTCCTTCAGCAGATCCGGGCGGCGAGGGGGACGCGACTCTCAGCCGCTTAGAGACCAGAAAACTCTCCCCAGACTCAGCCCCGGACGCCCAGTCGGTGGCGCCGCCTTAAGGCACAGGACGGGCAGGATCCGGGAGGACACCCGGGTCGCCTAACTTCGGGGAGGAGCATGGTCTAACCCCGGGGCGGCTGCCCCCCAAGACTGGACTCCCTGAAGTTGGGACGCAGGATACTTTCCAGCGTATAAAAATGGCGGGAAGAGCGCGGGCTCACGTCGCTACCAAACTGCAGGTGTGCACTCACCTGAGCCGCCCATCACTGGCTCAGGTTTCCAGGGGATGAGGAGGGAAGAGAGGGGCAAAGTCCAGCAGGAGGGCGGTGGTGTGTGTGTGAGGGGGACTTTTTTTTTTTTTTGTGCAAGATTTAATAAAAAACAAACAAAAATAGGAATGGCTGCTTTCAACATTTTTCAGGTTGTGAAAGGTTTACCATGATTACCTGGGGTGTGGTTCTAAGCTGCATTAGTGGAACAAATACAAAAAATGCTGTTTTCCTTCCAAGCCAGAAGTGGCAGGTCAAGGTGGTAACCATGCCCCTCATCCTGCTCTCTGACTGCTCCCGGCCTGTGGGTGTCAGTGCTGGAACCGGCAAACCCCATCCTGACGGCTCGTCCTCTTCTCCACACCACCCTGGACGAGCCTCCACTACGTGCAGCAGCGCCGAGCCTTAGGCCTGATTCCACGCAGACAGCGCTAGCTTATCCAGGCTGCTGGGCCTTAATACTGACCGTGAGTGCGGGGCGGCAGCACGGAGCGGGCTAACGCACGTGCGGCGGGAGGCTCTCCCGGCCCCACTCCTGGCTAGTTTTAGAATTCTGTGTAAAAAAAAGCTTTGATAAAGACGAAGGAGGTTGGAGTCAACATGGCGGGAAACAGTGTGAACAACCCATAAACCAGTCTCTCTCATGCATCCATACCCACAGTTAATGATGACAATAATAGCAATAATAATAATAATAATAAAAAATAAAGGTACAGACAAGAAACAGCGCTTGGGTTGTGCTGCCGCCAGCAGGGCAGGCTGTGTTCAGGTCGAATGGGCACTGCTAGTCTTTCTTCAAGTCCCTGGATTCAAAGAGCTTCAAGCGTTCCTGCACGGTCAGGCCTTCCTTCAGACTATGACAGGGGACCTGGAAGCGGGCTCGTTTCAGTTATCCCATGAGACCTGCTCAATTACGGACTTGGACCTGATGTTTCTCAGTTGCCGGCTGACGCAGGATCTGTCTTTCTTCAGGAAGTCAGGGTTGCTTTTAGATTTCATTATATCGTATCCTGACACAGGGGTGTTTTCAGGTGATTTTTCACCCAGTGCTTCTGTGGCTGCTTTCAGCTGCTCTTTCAACCTGCTGATATCACAGTCGGCCTTGGCCTTCACGATGCTGAGCTCTGTGTAGATATCTTTGTACTTGTCACTAGCGTACTTCTTGTCCCGCAATGCTGTCTGTAGTTCATCCTTGAGAGAACTGATCTCCTGCTTCAGGTACTGGATCTCTGATTCCTTGACCCGCAATAACACCTCTAACTCGTAGGCATCCTTGCCCTGTGTGAGTGGCGAGCCGGCAGCCTCCCCACTGGCATCCCCAGTCAGCAGTGTACGTAACCGTGAAATTTCTGCAGCCAGGCGGTTGTTCAGTTCCCGGTTGTGGGCGTTGAGCTCCTGGTTCTCGTGCTGGCACTGCCGCAGGGCCTGCCGCTTGGCCTCCAGCGCCTGGGCCAGGTGGGCATTCTCCAGGCACTTCTGCGAGTACTGCTCCGACAGCACCTCCAGCTCCCGCTGCACCGACTGCAGCTCCTCCAGGTACTGCCGCCTTAGAGCCTCGATGTCAGAGTTGATGCTGCTGATCTGGGACCGCTGGCTCTTTTCCAGCTCACGCTCCATCTCCTCCCGGTGGGCATTTTTCATGGCTTCAATGGCTGAAATTGTGGCCGCAGTCTCTTCTGCCAGGAGCCGGTCCTTTTCCTCTCGCAGCTTCTCCAGTTCCCGCTGGTGCTGCCTCTGCAGGTCTTCAATCTTCTTCTGGTGTGTTTCTTCCATTGCTGCAAACCCTCGCTCACAGGTGGCCTGCAGCACGTAGCCCTCCCGGGCACTCTGCTCCGGGCCCAGAGCCACCCTCAGCTGGTCCTGAAGGAGCCGGTTCTGTTCCAGAAGGTCTGAGGCTTCCTTTTGGCTCTGTTCCAACTCCTTCTCCAACAGAGAGGTCATCTCATGAGTGGAGAGTCGGTCACTTCCATCCTCAGAGGAGGGCAGGTGTAGGGGAGCGATGGGCACCTGCTTTTCTTCTCGGAGAGGGGTGGTCTCCACCTGATGCCATCGCTGCTCAATCTCCACATGGACATTCTGTGTCTTGAGTTCAGGAGTCATGGGCAGCCCAGGGCTCCGGTCTACCTCCATACGCAGGGCCATGTCTTCAGTTTATGTTACTCAATAAATCTGTGGTTTAAATATATTGAATTCCCATCCATGAAATGTTTTATTTAAATAATGTTTTATCTGGTGCAATGTAATGTCAGCTAACCTTTCTTTCCCCGTCTAGTTTCTCACTTTTGTACATGTCCAAGTTCTTGCCTCCATCCTCCTGAATGCACAATGTACATGGCTGTAGGCTCAGCCAAACCACTTGGGCTCAAGTGAAAGGTTAAGGAATCTTCATCATTACTCTGTCTCCCTCTTAGGAACAGGATCAGGATGGGCTGGTTTTCGTTTTTACATAACCAAACGATTCATCTCAAAGAGGATGACTTTTGAAGACCAACTTCATTAGGGCATACTTTACATAAAATATGCTGTGTCTCTTTGAAGTGCACAGCTGGATGTGTTTTTGCAATTACACACATCCATGTCATCAGCACCCCAATGAAGGTGTTCATCTTGGTCACCCCAAAAGCCCAGTGATGCTACCTGTGCAGCATTACCAGGAAGAAGACAGACTTTACCATATTACTATGAAAAGATGTGCTGGTACTTTAAAGCTTTCCAGGAGCTAAACTCTGACAGGCAGTTAATTATCATGCCACGTACACAATGTGTATATACTTTTTTAAAGATTTATTTTATTTATTTATGCATGAGGAGCTGGGGTGTAGGCCAGAGGTGCACGGGGTGAGAGAATTCAGAGGCAGAGTGCGGAGCAGAACAGGCAGATGGACTGAAACCCACAGCTAAGGGGACAGCGGGCAACACGGGAGAGGGCTTAGCCTCCCTGTGGACACTCCCTGGCCAGGGACAGAGCTGGTGCTGCAGTGGCTGCCAACAGGCTCATGGTGCAGAGTCTTAACTTCATGTACCCCCAGGGAGGTCCACAATATGTGTGTAAAAGAAGAAAATTTGGAGGAATAATCATTAAGTTTCTGACTGACATCTCCAGTGGGTGATAAGTTGGTGACTTTATTTATGTGAAATGTGGTATTTCATCTTTTAATGTCAAATTGAATTTCATGGGAAGGGAGTGAGGAAAAGACTATTTTTGGAAAATATAGAGCTAGTGCCCTAAACTCCGGAAGTGACAGGTTTTTAAAAACTAAAATATCCAACACCAGACTTTCTCTCTGAAGATCATCCTTCCCATTGGAATAGCTTTGAATCTTTCTTAAGTGCTCTAGACAGAAATGTAATCAAATATTTACAGAAGGACCAGGTATAATGAAAGAATGAACTATGGGCAGGTTACACAGACCAACTTCAAAACCTGAGTTGTGACACTGTCCTTGGCTCATAGACAAGGACAAATCTTGTTTCTTGAGGATCAACTTCAGAGCTTGTCTGAAGAATGATACTGACCTTCTGATCTAAGGAAGTTTCCAGAATGCTGGGTTAATAGCAATGTCTGGGAGATCCATGCTCCCTCAGTTGGAGCAAGGGAAACATCACCCCCAGTCTGAGGTCACAGGGCCCTGCCAGCAGGCAGCTGTTTGTCTGCCCCAGTGAAGGTTGGGGCAGCAGCAGGGGCTGAGGAAACACAGAAAGGCCTGGAACAGAAGCAGGAGACAAGAAGGCCTGAAGCCGCACCCTGCTCTTCTCTGGCATGGCCAGTGTGGCCAGCATGGCCCGGGCAGGACTGAGGGCCACACCTGGGCTGCTCCTGGCAGTCACCACAGCGGAGCCTTCGCTGGGAAGAAACGGGAGCACACACCCTGGCAAAGTGGACTTCTCCTCGTCCACTGGGATTGGTTTCCAGGTTCATCTGGAACAAAAACAGACACACTTCTGCTTTTGATCCAGACTCTGCTTTAGCAGACCTGCCCCTCTCCCCACCTCCAGGGCCTCAGGACTCCTCCCTCCACCCCTTCACCCCCAGGGCAGTAAGGAGGCCCCATCAGCCCCCGCCCACAACCCTGGAGTTCTTTCCTACTGCAGCCAGCTCCTTTTCCCACTTCCTCATCTTGTCCCCTCCCCCAACCAGCCCCTGAAATACTCTGGCCATCTTCACAGAACTTTTTTGAGATGATTTTCCACAAACTTCAGGGAAAATGAAAGACAAAGACCACAGAGAACCCCTGCAGGAGCCCATGGCTCCCTCCTTAGACCCCAGCCCCATCCCTACCCCCAGCCCTCTGGCATTGGCACTGCAGGGGGCAGTTGGTGCTATGAGCACATGTGGCTTTGGGGCAGGAGATGGACAATGACATCTGGTGGGTAGTCGAGGAGATCCAACCCCAACCCCAAATTTAGGGCTGCTTTGGAGAGGAGAGTGAGGTGGGGAGCCCCTGAGTCCAAGTCTAGTGATCATCCAACACAGTGGACACAACAGTGGACAGGACAAACCCCTTCCCCCAGGACCAGGCAGGAACAGCAGCGCCACCAGGTGGAGGTCGGACTGGCACAGATTATCCATACAAGATCCACATGTCTTATTTTTTTTTTTAAGATTTATTTATGCATACAGAACTGGGGTACAAGCCAGCGGAGCAGGGGTGGTGAGAGGACTCACCAGAGACAGAGTGGGGAACAGAACAGGCTGACTGACGAAGAGCACTGCTGAGGGGAACGGGGCGGGTCAGGAGAGGTCTGCTGTGCCATGTAGGTCACCTCCAGGGCAGGGATCAAACTCGTGCTGAAGTGGCTTTAGCTTCTTAGTGCTGTGCTTTAACCCGCTGCACCACCAGAGAGGGCCTCACATGTCCTTTGTTAACTATGCAGAAGCTCATATAGAATTCAGATAAGAACAAATCCAGCATTTCCTGGTGGGGCTCAGAGGGTTCAGGTGCAGCACTATCAGGCTGTCTCCAGCCACTGCAGCATGAAGCTGGGATTCGACCCATGAGGCACAGCAGACCCCTCCTGACCCTCCGGCTGCTCCCCTTCCAGTGTATTTCATCAGTGGACCGACCCGTTCTGCTCCCCACTCTGTCTCTGAGGAGTCCTCTCACCCCAGCACCTCTGGCCTATGCCCAGTTCTTATATTCATAAATGAGTGCATCTTTTAAAAATGATAATAAACTCTAAAGCAAGAAAGGAGGGACTGACCTGTGCCATCACCCCACCTCCTGGCTCAAGAATCACATGAAACTTTAAAGCAATAAAGGTCACAGCTGGGTAAATAGTAGTCTCCATTTCTGCAAATGTTGCAGACTCCAGCTTGCCGACTTCACCCCCATCCTACCAGCATAAAAGCTGTTTTCCTTGTGTTGCATTTTAAATAATTCTTGTCGATGGCACTGTGTGTGGTCAGTCCCCTTAAGTTACTGTGGAAAAAGGCAAGTATAGGAATGTGGGGTTCTGGATAGTTCTGCTGCCAACACCACCTTAAACCCGCCAACCATGAATCCACTCACCTCCCTCCATCCACTTCTTCCCAGAGTGTCCACAGCAGCCGGGAAGGGGGCTTGTGCTTGGGTTCCCTGCGGCCCCTCACATCCAGCTGCCCATTGGCACATCTCACACAGTGAGATGTTGTGAATAAGAACATATCCTTGGGTATCCCAGAGGGCCCACCAGTTCTTCCCTGAGCAGATGCCCAGCTCCTCCCACTGCGCACAAAAGCCCCGCCCACTGCCTGCAAGCCCCTCCCTCTTCCCCACAGACACTCCCCACTGCTCCCATGCACCTCTGATGGGCTTGTTTAAAGGGTAAACAAGTGAACCCCCACTCCAAGCTCCACAATACTCAAGCAGGCCCACTCCTATCTTTATTCACACCAACCTCTGGACTCTGCCAGAGCTGTCTCAGGGCACGCCCTCCCTGGGCCCCACAGGACTGTCCTCACAGTTAAGGTCTCTGCCCAAGGGCCCCACCAACTGTCTGAAATACACGCCCTGCCATCCCCTCACCCCCCAGTTGCCAGGTACAGGCTCCCCACAGAGTCAGTGGTCACCAATATCAGAATAAGGGTTTTTAGCATTGTCTGTCTATCTCCTGGAAATGATGCTGTTTAAAGCAGGAGGTTTATCTCCTGGCTCCCCTTGTACTGCACAGACCCAGTAATGCACAGTTGCTCAATAGACATGCTTTGGAAATGCAGTTGACAACAGGTGTATGGAGCCTTTTTTCTAAAGATTTGTGCATGCATACAAGAACTGGGGTGCAAATCAAAATTACGGCGGCAGGGAGGTGTGAGAGGATCCACGAGACAGTATAGGAAGCAGAACCGGCAGCTCAATAGAGCACAGTGGGCAGGACAGGAGAGGTCTGCTGGGCCATGTGGGTCACCCATGGCCAAGTCATGAACTTGCACTGGCCTTGGCTGTGCATAGCTTCATAGAGCTCAACTTCAACTGGATGAGCCACCAGAGAGGCCCCTGACTAGCCTTTTAAAAGTTCAAGCAATGTTCAAAATATTCTAGAAATTTCTATTCAAGAAATCTCTGGTTTTACACAAAAGTATAGAAGGATACTTATACAAAAGGATACTTGACACAAGCTATGCAACGGCTATCGTCTGACAGATTCCGGGTAGCTCGGGAAAAGCTCTGAAAAATCAGAATTTCTACTGCTAACTTGTTATGACCTCCCTTTTTGTATAATCAGAATATCAAAAAATATTGTAGCAACATCAGTTTGTAACTGGATTGCCTTAGCTCTAAATTGGCTACCTGGCCTGGGCAAAGTACAAGCTGAGCTGCTCCTGGGCAGGAAATTCCTTTGACTGAAGACAAAAGGTAAGCTCCTGGAGAGATAAGACCCCAGGAGCATCAAGATTCCTTGAAAGCTCCCTTGGTCTTTTGACTAAAAGTGATTCTTAGATAACTCTCAGGACATAAGGACCCATAGAAAATTTCCTAACATTATCAACACAGGTTTTGCTTAATGCATAACTATGTGACTTCCTCTTAATTTACTCTTTTCCTAAAACAATCACTACCTACTCTCTGCTAGTCTTAATTAACCTTTTCCTAAAACAAACACTAGTTACTCTCTGCTAACCTTAAGTTAGCCATTAGCTTCTCTTTAGACTATCACTGACGACTCTGCTA